TAGAAGATCTACATGGCAATAAAATTGACTTCCTATTCTACCAATTAAATCTATCTAAAATTTTACCTGTCACAACGTGTAGAATTTCAAAATAGAGGAGTATTACATATACATTCAATACTTTAGGTTAAAAAAAGTATAATAGAAATGATAGCAGAAATTCTATTTAGATCTGATTTACCAAATCAAAACTTTATATCAGAACTTTACCAATTAGTATTAATACATCAAATTCATACATGTAATCCTAGATAGTGTAGTAAACTGATATCTTCAGGTTAAACATGCAAAAAAAACTTTTCTTGACCATATTCTCTAATTATATATTATAATATTAAAGAATCTAAATATATATATCAATATATAACTAAAAAGGGTAGATGGGTAGTTTTTTACTATCTACCTACACTTTTATTATGGAATGCTCACATGAATATACAATATGTGAGTATTAAAAATCTTAGTAAATATTTAACCAAATATGTTATCAAATCAGAACATTCATATGTATTTAATATATTAAAAGATGATAAGTATTATGAGCATATAATTAATCAATGATTAAACTTAATAGAGTGTATATTTTATTATTTGGTAAACAATATGCAAATCATTGGTAAAAGTAAAATATCTACCTACTGAATCACCAATAACTCGTTCACGTGCAATAAGACCAATATCAACAATATTAGAAGATGATAATAATTCATATTGAAAAGATACAATTGAAAAATATTTTGCACGTCTATATGATGAACAATTTGATAATATAACTTATCCTAATTATTTTAAAAATTATACATTATCATTAAAAAACCTTCAAATAATAAAATTTACAAAGATGATTTAAACTATTATATTGTTAAGAAAACATTTCTATTAATTATACATTACAGACAACTTAAAATTCAGAATATAGAACTATATTTTTATCAACAATTACTTATAACAATATCTTGCAAATCAAAAGATGAATTACTTAGTAATTTTACATCTTATCGAGAAAAATATTTAAATTTACATCTAGATTTTTAGAATTCAATTCAAAATTCTATAAATACAATAGTAATAGAAAATAGATATTCATTACAAAATCAATTTAACACAACCATAACTAACATATTAGAAAACCTTAAAGTTAAAATTACTTCACAAATATCAAAAATTCTTATCAAATAATTAGATAATTTAAAATTAATACCATCAAAATTTTTGCTAAATGCAATGTTAAATTTATTAGAAGAACAATACATTGTATATAATATTATATCTATTCTTGAACTAATATCATAATCTAAAAAATATCTATTTTTCTTTATTACAGGATCTGATGGAACTGAAAAATCATATTTAACAAAATTAATTATTGATTGGATAAAATCAGAAAGAAAAACTTATCTTTTAATAACACCAACAGGAATAACTGCACAAAATGTTGAAGGATTTACTATTTATTCTGCATTTAGAATAGTATAAATAGAATCAGACTATCAATTATTGGATTTTTATAATCTTGAATTTAAAAAAAATTATAGAAAATTCAAGTATTAATTATAGATGAAATACCAATAGTTTCTACTTCATTATTTAATTTTATTTCTAATTTATTTGCTAGAATTCACAATTTTGATATAGCATTTGGAGGTATCTGTATAATAGTTGCAGATGATTTGACACAACTTTCACCAGTAAGAGGTGAAGCTGTATTTTATTCATCAGTATAGCAATTTTTTCATCCTTTATTTTTGTACAAATTCCAAAGACATAATGAAGGTAATAAATTCTATAAAATGTTGGAAGAAATTAGATTTGGAAAAATATCAAATGTAACCTAGATAAAACTTACAGAAAAAGCTACAAATTATAATAATAATCAATCTTCAGATTCATTATTAATAATAACACATATTGTTGAATATTATGAAACATCAAAACAAATCAACAACACAATTTGCAACCTTCTTCCAATTAATAATGAAAAATATTTATTAGCAGAAGCTATAGATTTTATAGAAGGTAAACAAGTATCACTAGAACTTGTTTAAACAGAATTTAAAATAAAAAAAATATGCCACCAACAGTTAGACTCCAACAAGGTGCACAAGTTATGTATCTAAATAACTCATTAATAAAAGAAGGTATATGCAATGGAATTATCAGTGCAATCACTGATATAGATAAACAACAATCAAGTATACAAATAGCATTTTGTGTGCAATTATTCAAGGATGGATTACAAGAGAAACATTCTACTTTTATTCAGGGGTCAACATACATCTAGAATACAGTTTCCATTACAAAACACATTTTCTTTAACAATTCATAAAACACAGGGTCTTACCTTACATTCCATTTCAATAGATCTTAGCCAACTATTTACACCTAGTCAAGCATATACAGTCGCCACTGGTTATAACGAACCTGTTTATACCGAAAACTCGTTATATCAAACCAAGTGGTGCAGAACCGAATTTTTTATAATTAATTGCACTGGATATACTGAAATTATATAGTAAAATGCCATACCGCATCCGAACTTATGTTGGCCAAACCAAATATATTAGCCACGTATTTGATAAACCGAACGATCACGTGACTTAAACTAATATATAAAATTATCGTAATCTTTTTTTTCATCGAAACACAGAAATTTTGTTTAAAGAACTCCGATATCATGTCAAGAAAAAGGGGATATTCTTTCAGCTGCACAAAATCCAAGTCTTCCTAATATAATATTGAACTTACACACCAATATTTATTGGGGCAATAATTTTGTTAATAAAGTATAATAATATACAAAGCTGTGAATTTTAAATGATGTGATTTTTTAAGTTTTTTACCAAGGTGTAGATAAATTTACGCAAAATATGGACATTAATGGAAGATTTTAAGTTAAAATTGTACAAAATTAATGCTTAAAGAAGTAAAATTTAATCTTTCATTTATCTTATTATGCAAGGTAAACATTTAAATGTTAATACCGATATTACTAATATGATCACATGTCTTTAATTTATTGGTAGACTCTATATACCGAACAGTTCGGTATATAGATTGAGCATCATATAACGAACTCATCCTATACCGAACCAAACCCTACAGAACGGAGGGTTCGTTATATCCAGTGGCGACTGTAGTAAAAATGAAAAACAGAGGTCAACTTTGTATGTAAAAATTTATTATTAGAAATTTTTTGCCGATCATTTAATTTCTGCCGGTTAATTCTACTTACTGAATACGATATTTTAAAATCGTACTTTTTTTAATAATATATTTATTTCAAAATCGCATTTATATTAATCACTTTTTCGAAAAAATTTTAATTTTATATGAAGAAATATTTTCGTGAAATTTTAGGTGAGAATACCAAGAATAAGGAATTTTTATAAAATAATTTAATTGGAGTATATAATATACGAAAAAAAATCTCTATTGATAAATTTTTATGATACCGCGTGACAAATATTGGAAGTCACGTGGAGTGAAATTTTTTCTGACGATACTGGGTAAGATGATTCCATATACCATGGGAGAAATAAAATAATAAAATCTCAGATTTATCTACCAAATATAAAATGGTTGAAATATGCAAACACTATTATGTTTTTTGTTCTGAATCACAAGGCTTATCTTATCAGCCTCATTTATCATAAATATATTTCATTTTCGAATTCAAAACTTAAATTTTTTTTACGCAAAATAAAGGACAATGAGATTGAAATCAACCAAATCCTCTGTTTTGATCGTGTCGACAATTAATTTAGAAGATGAAACGAAAGTCAATTGTGCTGATAAAACTGTGCATACTAACTTTTCACGAATTCTTCATTTGATTAATCTTCTCCAATTACGGCTTGATATTTAATTAGCTCCTCTCAAAACATAATTCTCAAGAAAAGCGCGAAATCAATTCAAATCCATCACATACTAAGCAAATCTACTTCGGAAAGGACCAGCCAAAGAACAAAGAATATCCTATTATACGTGAAAAAATAAATAGATAAATAATTACCGCCATTACCTTTATTGACCCATACAAAAGATCTATGATAATTCATAAACGTGGATCGGACAATATAATTTGTCCTTACATTGATTATTCAGATGATGGTTATTATAAATAATATCATATCTTCAATATCTTTTATTTTATTGGGTTAGAATAAAATAAATTTCCTATTTGATAATAATCTTAATAATCTTAATTATTTTCCAAATTGATTATAAATTTATTCCAAAAAGTAAAATAAAAAAAAAATCATGATCTATATACAATTAGAAAATAAATCGGAATTTACAAAACTGTCCCTCAGAAATTACAGTAATCTATGGCTAATGAGGTTTTGAAAAACAAATTGAAGATAACATAATATGAAAATATAAAAAATATGATGTATTATTTGGAAATGATTTACATTTACCTTCTATAATTGGAAAAAAATATGATGGATTTAGAAACAAAAACCATTTTTCCCAACATATGAATTTTTTGTTATAGGATTTAATCTTCTCTTACTATTTTTACTTCTTGGACCATCGAGTTGAACTTTTCGATGTTTCTTACTCCCACGTTAATAGGTAAGTTATATGGTGGAGAATCGCCTATTTCTCCGTCGTCTCCGATACCATCAGGCATAGTTTCGCGATGCCAAATATCATTGCTAAATCTTTTTGAGCCTTTCTGATGAACAAGTTTCCTACGATACCTTTTATATTTTCTGGATGGAAGTCGAAATCGTAACAAACAATGTTCTTCTTCTTCATTTGCTATAGAATTAACGAATTCTAATCCTTTGTTACGGTCTTCAGTAATATATTTGGTTGGGTGTGCCCCATATCTTGCGGGGACAAGGCCTTGATCATTCAACGATCCTTCTGCCTCGGTAACATTCATTTTTCGATATACTTTGACCGTTGGTGAATCTGAATCACTTGAGGAGTCATCGGTCCAAATAGGTGAATCTTGATCAGAAGTACTTTCTTCGGTGTCAGAGTTAATAACATATCCAACATCATAGTCCAAACGTAATTTGGAAAATAACTTTTCGAGTGCATCAATCGAACTCTGTCCGTTCATATTTTTTTTTTTTTTTTAGTGATACTTCTACGGGAATTGTGTGGGGCTGCCGTTTAAATGTCTTTCGTAGTGTTTGTTAATTAGACCAAATAAAGCTAGTAAGATGAAAACAATGTATCTTATGATTCTTACATAAGTAAATTTTTATTATTCCTTTTCAAGAACTTTATCCTTTTAAAATATTCCGATAAAAAGATTTCATTTGTCAACAACGTTGCCTCTCATTTATTTTAAATTTTTGCTCCTTTTACTTTATAAAATTGAGGGTAAAGTGAGAGTTATGATCATATATTACTTTGAACTAATGAATTTTTATTTTTATTTTTTATCCTTAATTACTTAATTATTTAAACGTAATTCTATTTTTATAAAAATTATGTTTATTAATGAAAATACCTCGAGAGAAACTTGTTTAAATTCTGTTTGATAGAAAAAAATTCGTTTGTGAAATCAAAATAGGGTAAACTAGCATACAGTATCTTACCTAATCTCATTTGTTGGAAGGGGTGGAATACCAAAATTTCACGATCACGTGATTTGTATTACAGAGTATATTACGCGATTTTTATATTGTTATCGAGCAAACTTACAAAAGAATGAAGGATTCATTAGAACAGGGTAATTCGATGTTCTCTGATTATCTTCGGGTAATAAAACTGCCGAAAAAAGGTGAGATTATTACGCGTCATGTTTTTTAGGTTTATGTGATACAAATTTAATTCGTTGATTACGCATATATTCCACACGAATATTAAGATTTTATAAATTATATTTATTACCACTAGGGAATGGGGACCATTGTTAAGTCCGGAACGATTTTAACAAAAAAAAAATATTGCAAAAGCCAATCAGCATTGACTCAACTATTGAGCGGGCGGACATCCAGACTTTTGCGTAGAATTATAGTCCTTCGCTACGCTCCGGACCAATGAAATATTTATGCACTGCTTCAAAAAAATAACGACCTTAATCGTGGTAGTTTAGTGTAAATAACTGAGAAGAAAGTGTGTATGAAAAAAATAAAAAAAAATATCAGTACTTATTAATAAAGTTTAAAATTAATTGTCAGTTCTTTGAGCAGTTATAAAAGGTATTTTCCCTTAGATAATTGAAATCTTTAAAATTAATAATTTGCACATTATCAACTTTTACGCAATGTCAAACATAAACGAATAGATGATTGCTTTAAGAAACATATAATACCTCGTTTTTCTGAAAAAATCCAAAGAGAGCATTTTTTTCTTTGGATGTTGTGCATCAAGTATTACTATATTAAGTTTGTGGTGGAAGTATGTGTTAAAATACATCGATTTAGTAAGAATATTCTTATAAAATTAATTTAACTATAGTAACAAAAGTTTAATTACGAAAAAATTCTTCAATAATAAATTTTTTATATGTTACCATATATAGTTTGATTTTAATTAGTTGACAGAACATAGTCAACCTCCCCGATAATGAATTAGTTCTGTTGATATCAATGTTAACATATCAACTAAGGTGAGGAGTGTATTATTTGCGACTCGATGGTGTACCATCATGATGGCACTTTAAAACATAAAAAACATGGTTTTTTGATAATTGTAACACCTTCATATTTTGTACTCTTGATTTTGCTGACTGTAAATTCGTTGGTATTAGGCAACGGAGAGACACAACGAATATGCATTTTACAACTTCTTCGAGCATGTAATATTCACTGTTGATGAGCGCAAATTTTATAATTTGTTGTATTTTCATCATGACCTCGGCCAAGTGTTCCAGACTCTTCATGATATTGAACTTGTTTTTCCTGGAAGGTCGATGGACAAAATCCAATGGATACGTTAAAATTTTATCTTCTTTCCCTTATGACCGAAAGGATAATTTTTTCTCTGAGTCCTACGTTAAATGATTTGTTGAATACATTCGAACATTTTTTTTTTTCCTGCACAATTCCACTCTCTTTCAGTCATTCTATTATTAAAGTATTTAAGCAAGCATACAGTCTTAAAAATATAAAAATGTTAGTATAAAAACAAAAGGTAATACATTTCTCAACGCTACAATATGATGGAATACCTTTACATATAAATAATAGATTTTAAAATCGTAAAACAAACTTGTCACCAACTTTGTTTGGCTTTCTGTTGCAACTGTTACCATATATAGTCGTTACCGATTCGTGTACCCCTTATAGTCACAGGCATCGGGACCCACCGTAATGAGTGATTATAAGGGAGGTATTCTTTGTTATAATCACATATTATTTTATTATACAGATAAATAAAATATAAAAAATTTTTTTTTATTATAGAATTTTATTTCTTTTAAATAAATTTATTCATAATATCTGATTTGTATTAATAAGTTTTGAATTTTATAAAGTTAATAAGGGCCCCTGATTACGAAAGTATCACATTAAGATAACCGTATCGTACACTTTAGGAATAATTCTCCTAAGTAACATAAGTGTAACCATGTACACTTTGGTCATTTTAATACTAGTAAACTTAGTAGATATCACATCAATTATCACGATAAGATTCCAATCATCATAATCAGGGGCCCTAGTTAATATTAAATGTATTTGTCTATTTGATTTTTTTTTATTTTTCATAAAGTCAAAGCATAAGCTAATGATTATTATAGCAATACTATGATTTACTCATTAAAGTTGATGGTCTTGTATCAAATTTGATTCTACTTTTTTAGAACCTGAATATGTTTTAAAATTTAATAATAAAAATGTTTTAAATTTTCTAAGATATTTAATGAAAGAACTTTTACAATCAATTGATTTTTTTAATATTCAATAATTATAGTTCTCAGCGAAAAGAATGGTGGCAAGTTTTTTTTGAATAATAAAAGAATTTTAAATTTTTTTTTATTCTCAAATGCTTTTGATTAAGAAATTATACACTCAAAAAATTAAAATATAAAAAGTATTCTCCTTTTCTTTCAATTTGGATTTAAATACAAGTTAAAATACTAAAAAATTAGAAAGTTAGCCTTTTTTCTTATTAATTTAACTTCATGCTTTCTATTTTCTACTTTTTTAAGTTAGAATATATTATTTCTATTGTAAAACATTTAGCTAAACATTTTTTTATTAGTGAGTGAAGCTTGTTAACATAGTAAAATGTTTTGTAATCTTAATTTTAATGATTAAATACTCAAATTTGACCTTGTTTTACAATTACAAAAATTTTTTTATATTAAAATATGTATTGCAAACTTCAAACAATACACATAGTATTTAGACTAGTAATACATATAAAATACTATGTAATTGTTTATATAAATCCTTACAAAAAAATGTTAATTATATAGTAAAAGATTACATTGCCATTCTTTTCACTGAAGACTGTATTACATCTACACAAATATTACTTTTTGAATATTAACTGATTTGCCTTTTTATTTATCTTTAATAATAATTAATACTCTATATATATTTTATATAAAACCTTTTAGTCTGTAAATTTAAAATCAAATTAATGTTTAGTTTACTTTTGTTCTTAGAAGTTCTTAAATAACATTATCTTATAATTTATAATTAAATATTATTGTATCCTAAATATTTAGTAGAATATAAAAACTGTTTATATTTAGTTTATTATATAATCTTTTAACAAATAAATAATATACTATTATTTATACAACCATTTTTACATAACAATTAACTTATTTTACTATTTAATTTTCTAATTTCATTAAAATCTTATTTCTTGAATTTTAATCTATAAATACATAATATAATACTATTAACTTTATTGATTTTATCAAAAAAATTATTTCTAATTCCTTTTATTCAAAAACTCTTTAATTTTTTAATAATAAATCTTTAATATTTGATCTTCTTTCTATACTTATTACTATACTTTTATATAAATTAAAACTTTTTAAATAAAGTATTACGCTATTTTAAATAATTTAATAATATATTTGATTTAAATAAAAACAAATTAATATTACAGTTTATTTCTTTTAACTCTTATTTATTTTAATTTTCTTTTTTTTATTTTTTTCTTTAAATATAATATTAAAGCTCTAAATAAATTAAATCAAATCAGATAATCTTATAAACTAATCTAATCTATTTGATTTAAAAATTTTTAAGTTAATTTAAATTATTTTAAATAATTTGATTTTACTTTAGATAGAGATTAGGTCAATTTAGATAATTTAATATTTAAATTAAAAATAGGTACTACAATTAAAAAAATGTTATAATTGAGTTGTAAATTGTAATGTAATTAAATTTTCTTATAATATAATTTAGTTGCAATTCATAAAAAATTTGAAAATAATTATGAAAACTATTTTTATATTGAATAATCTTATCTAATCTAAATCTTGTTTATTTAGATTAGAACATTAAATAGTTTAGATTAATCTAAATATTCTGGTTAATTTAACTTAATACTTTTTTTAAGTAGATCAGGTTAGATAATCTGTTTTGATTTAACTAAATCTGTTAAATCTGAAAATCCAAGTTATGTTTATACATCATTTTTATAAATGATAATAAACTTTTTCAAAATAAACTATTTAAAATGAATAATAATGAACTATTTAAATTAAATGATAAGAAACTATTCAAAATTAATAATAAAAAATCATTCAATTAGAATAATAATAAATTGTTTAAAATAAATAATAATAAAATATTTATTTTGATAATAATAAATAATATTTATTAAATAATAATAAATTTTTTAAAATGAATTCTAAGAAAATTTTCAATTAGAATGATAATGAATTATTTAAAACAAATAATATTAAATTATTTAAAATAAATAATAATAATTATTTATTTTGAATAATAATAAATTATTCTTATTAAATGATAATAAATCTTTTAATTAGAATGATAATGAAATTAAAATAATTCTATTAGATTTTTAAGTTAAATCAGATAATAGATTAATATAACTTAATTTAAAATTCTAATAGTATCCACTAATTAAATTTTGTAACTAAACTTTTTGTATTAGATAATTAAACTAATTTTAGTT